GGTTGTGATGCATGTTTTTCATTCCTCCAACTAAAATTGGGATGATTCTTCCATCTCGGGTTGTATGTGTTTGAGTAAGGATTATTGTAAGGTTTTGAAAAAGTGTTTACAACATTTGCTTGATCATGCAAGACTTCTTTTAAAACAGGTAATGTTGAACATTCCTTCATAGGATGTTCAGGGATTTCACAAACACTACACACCTATCAACAGGCATTGTGTCAACTTGATTAATCTTTTTGTACTCCATGGCTTCTACACTCCTAGCTAAGGTGACAATTCTAGCTCTTAGTTTATCTTTTTCCCTCAACTGGTATTTACCCCCACTAGATGATGATGATTGTGTAGTCTTACCTTTAGTAGGTTCTTTAGATGTAGTATCCCAAGATTGTGCATTCTCGGCTAATTGGTCTAAAAAGTATAAGGCCTCGTCAGGTTCTTTATTCATAAAATCACCATTACACATCATTTCTACAAACTGACGCAACTGTTGGCTCAATCCCTCATAAAAGAAACTTATCACGCGCCAGCTCTCATAACCATGATGTGGACAAGATGCAAGAAGGTCTTTAAATCTTTCCTAACTTTGATAGAAATTTTCACTCTTTTTGAGAAAAATTAATTATTTACCTTTTTAAAGAGTTTGTGCGATGTGTGAGAAATTTTTTTTTAAGAAATTATTTTTGCATCTCAAGCCATGTACCTATGGTCCTAGATCTAAGTGAATATAACCAAGTTTTAGCTTTTTCCTTTAATGAAAAAGGAAACAACTTTAATCCGATTGTATTAACTGAGACATTCTGATCATGGAACGTAGCGCATACATCCTCAAATTATCTAATGTGTAGATATGAATTTTCTAAATCTAGGCCAAGAAATTTTGGGAGTAATGTAATCATGTCAGGTTTGGAAACAAAATTTGTGGCATTTAATGGAAAGATAATGCACGAGGGTGCAGTGTGGCGTGCAGGCTATAAATATTAACACAAAGTCCTACCTTAATTAGCATTTAAATTATCCACATCGTTTTCATCATAATTACTTACTCTATCAATATGATCCTCATGTTTGAGAAGATCATTTTGCCTATTATTGTTAGGATTAGCAGCCATTGTGTTTGAAGAGTGATTTGAATCAGATGAACCAAATAGATTTCTAAACAGAGTATCTAAATCTTCTCTTATTAAACGACCACTTAAGTCATGATTCCAGGAACTCATAAAACAAATAAACAAACTAAATAAAACAGAAATCTAAATTAAACAGAAATAAAATAAATTGCAATAACATGACTAAAGTAAATAAAAATTAGAATGAAGTTACCGGATCTCCGAAGAATCGCAAATATCGAAAACCTCAAAGATGCGATGACTCTTTGTCCTTAAACTCCCCGGCAACAGCGCCAAAAACTTGCTACAACTTTAGAATTGATCACCCAAGTGCATGCTGTTACGAAGTAATATAATACTCGGAAGTCCAAGGTCAAATCACAGGTAATTGTAACAAAAAGCAATCACAAAAATACCAAAGAAAATTTGAGAGAACAATTTGTGTAAAAAAAAATTGTTGAGTTGAAAATATTGATTGGAGATATTTAAACAATATAATAAAAATACTAAAGCATCAGATACTCCCTCTCAATTCCATACAATAATGATTAAAGACTCAAATCTTAACTTGAGACAAGAATCAGATGTCGGTTGATTCGAGTAACAAATCAATTAAGAAAATCAAAAGTTAAAATCAAAAGATTATTCAGGAACCTGAATAATCATCCAATTATATTATTTTATGAAATAATGATAAATACTTGAAGCGTGGAATAACCAGTTATTTACTCGCAGGAAAATTTAAGCAATCGATGTATATGATACAACGACTCAAAGATTTTTATATAATAAAAACTTTGCTAAGAAATCAAAAGTTAAATTAACAAAACATCATAAATCATTAAGCACAGAGTCAATAACAGTACCGTACTTCGTTGAGAGATTTTCCCCTAACCCTAGCTTAGTCTTCTAGCCGGACATGACGAACTAAAATAAAAATAAAAAGATAGGAAAAAGAATAATCAAATAATCTCTAAATGAGAACCCCTATTTATACTAATAATAAATCCTAAGTACAGATTGAAATGAATTCTTTTCCAAAAAAGAAGTCTTGTAAGGTTAAATCCCGTGCATAAAATCTTTTTTTTGGGGAGGGGGGGCGGGTACAAAATTTGTCTAGACTTCAATCTTGAATTTCACATATTTAGAGGTTGAATCACGAAACTTTTGTGAAATATACTTTTGTAGCCCTTGAAGTCTTCTGTCCAACCCCCAAAAATCAAGTAAATTGGATATCAGAGTCAAAAGTTATGACAAAAAATACTGAAGACGTGTCAGATCCTTTTCTTCTTGAACACTTGCCTAATCCAACTCTAAATGAGTTTTCTTCCAACTTGGACTCTTATAAGGATTAAATTGCTGTCATATCTTCAAGTCTTCCAATCTCAATCTTGACTCTTCAATCCTTATCAGTTATCATTCTTCCTCTAGTGATTGCTTCATTTGCATTATTCATTATTACTTTAAATCAACCAATTTACTTGCAAAATAAACCAAATAACTAGAAAAAGTATCAAACTAGAAAATCAAAGAATTTAACACATTTAATCACAAATAATATGCAATTAACCAATTATTAAATATAATAAAATAGCAATTTTGATGGTTAATCAAAGTTACAAGACTTAGGAGGGAGCTTTCTATACGGTTTGAGATGAAGAATCTTGGGGAGTTTCACATATTTCTTGGATTGGAGGTATCAAGGAATGAAGAATGTATTTTTCTTTCTCAATCGAACTATGCTAAGAAAATTTTGGGCAAATTTAGCATGTCAGATTGTAGACAGTAGCTACTCCAATGGAGCAGAACTTGAAATTAAAGGTTGATAAAGGGAAAGAGTTGAAATACGGGCAACGCTATTGGATACTGGTTGGAAGTTTGTTGTATCTAACTATTACCACACCCGTCATTTCTTTTTGGGATAATTAGTCAATTCATGAAACAACCGCACAAATCCCATCAAGAGGCTGCTAATAGGATACTTTGGTATCTTAGTGGCACAATCAGTTTTGGTCTGGTGTATAAGAGAGATGTTAACCATAGTCCCAAAGGTTACACAAATGCTGATTGGGCTGGAGATTTTGTAACAAGGAGATCTACTTTCGGGTTTGTGTTTAGTTTTGGATCTACAGCTATTTTGTGGTGTAGCAAGAAACAAGCAATAGTTGCATTGTCAAGCTCAGGAATGTGTTTAGTTGAAGAGGCTTATTGGAGAAATTCTTCATCCAATTAACAAGCCAGTACAACTATTGTGTGATAATATGAGTTCTATTCAAATGGCTTCAAATCCAGTATTCCATGCTAGAAGCAAAGCATATTGGAGTCCACTACCATTTCATTCGAGAGAAGGTACTTGAAGTTGAGATTGATCTAATTGAGGTGGATACAAATGATCAGCTGACAGATACTTTCACGAAGGCGTTACCAAAGGAAAAGTTTCAAAAGTTTCGAGAGTTTTTTGGCTTGGTTTCTCATGTTAGCACAAAAGGCGAGTGTTGAAAGTTGTGCTAACTTTATTAGTTTAATTTAGTATTTTTCACACATGGTTCATGTACATGGTTTGGTACATGAATGTAGTTCAAGAGTTTTTTTGTTAAGTTCAAGAGTCATTAGTAATATTCATGTATGGAGTCTAAGGGTCATTTATGAATCTACTTATTATCTAGGGTTGTGTACTTGTCTAGGTGCATGATAGGAGAGTCCTAGAAATTCTAGTAGCATTTTGAATCATGGGGGGTGTATCCTTGTAGAGAGTGAAAAGGAGAAGTACTATGAAATAAAAGTTCATGTGTTCTTCTTTTATGTGAGTGTTGACTCTAATTGTTCTTCTTGTTCTAAGTTTTAATAGTTCAATGGTCTTGGGTGTGTAGTCTAGGGTTCTAGCTGCATTATTGAAGAGTGTGATTCTCTCAAGTGTCCACTACAACACTAGCAGAGTCGTGACGGAAGGTTAAGGAAACTAATTTATGTACATATTGTACAGGAATGTTGGTTTTTTCCTGTCGTTTGTTATAAAGGATGAAATCCCTAATCTTTTATTTTGGTACAAACGACATCATTGTGTATCCTGTTATATAGTTTCCTATTTTGATTATGGCATTAGGTGGCATTATTGATTTTTAAAATGCATTACTATATTACAAATGCAAGTATTGTCACGTGTTAAGTTACGCTTCCATCTATGAAAAACCAAAGAAGGTCTCTCGGGATGGAGTGTGAGATAAGGCTGAGATAAGGCCAAGGATTTTACAACCATCAAATGGATTCACTCCCTAATCCAACGGCCAATAGTCCCAACCTCAACTAATCCGGTCCCACCCCTTCAAATCCCTATGAATAATGTTACATGAACTTAAAAACTAATCAGAACTCTCACCGCATCACCAAATACTCCTATAACCCAAACAAACCAATTAGAACTCCCATACCATCCCTTCCCACACTCTCACATCCTTCACCCCCACCATCATGGCCACCACGACGGCAACCGCAGCCATAGCCACCTCCTCATTCATCAGAACACGCCTCCCAGACATATTCTCCAACTCAAGTCGAGTTCAAGCCTGATTCGGATTTGGAGCCAAGTAATCACCACCTAAAAAGTCCACAAATTTCAATTCAGACCATCCACTTTGGTACCCAAGAGCCGAAGCACCGGAGTGGCTCGACAGTAGTATGGTCAGTGATTATGGGTTCGACCCATTTGGGTAAGGCAAGCCTGCAGAGTACTTGTAGTATGAGTGGGACTCTTTGGACCAGAACTTGGTGGGTGAGATAATTGGAACCAGGTTTTGGGGTTCGGATGTGAAGTCGATGCCATTTCAACCATACACTAAGGTCTTTGGGCTGCAAAGGTTTAGGGAGTGTGAGCTGATTCATGGAAGGTAGGCTATGTTGGCTACTCTTGGTGCTTTGGCTATTGAGTGGCTCACTGGTGTTACATGGAAGGACGCTGGAAAGGTATTGACTACTTGATTACATACAAGATTTTTGTGCCTCACAATGTTAGATTAGGATGTGCATGAATATCTTTACTTTTTAGATCTCTTAGTTTGAATCTTGGTAATTTTTTGGGCCAAGATTTATCCCTTATAAATTTATGTAGCTCTCTAAAAATTCAAGTCTCTTTATACGGTTAAATAAAGACCTTTCTCTTTTGGCATTCTCGGTCCTATATGGGAGGAACCACCTCTTCCCCTGCATCCATTTGATTGCTTAGTATATCCTCCTTCTCGCACTTTTCTGGTACAAAGGACTAGACTGATAATTGTGTATATAAAGAAGACTTTTGTCTTTCTTTAAAAAAGTCAGATAGTTGATCGAGAAAATGAAGAGTTATCTATTCTATTTGATTCCCTCTACTCTTCTCATTTCGTAGTTTGCTACGAGAATACGACTTAGCTCATAAGAGAAAAAGAAAAATAGCATATTAAAACCAGAAGGTAATCCTTCACTTAGGATTTTACATTAGCGGGTTCAAAATCTGTCTTTTTCTAGAAGACTACGGAGTCAAGATCCACCATCACTCTCTTTACAACCATTCCATTCATCTCTGCTTTAACATACAATGAATGGGTGAGCAAGGGGTTGGGCGCCAACATGTTAAATTCCTCGTGAAATGCTTGCCTTTTTGTTAACATATGGATTAAGGGTCTTAGTCTTAAAGCTTTGGTTAATAATTAATACTAATAAATCATAAGATGTCACAATTAAGTTAATGTTAGGATATGTGACGTAATTTACCATGGAACTTCTATGGTGGTACCGGTACTGAACGTTATAATATTTTAAGGATAAGTTACAATTTTTTGAGGTGTAAGTTACAACTTCAAATAGCATATTTGATCATGAAATGTTAGAAGCGATATCACATTTTTCATGATTGATCATGATTGTTTGTGATTGATCATGACCTCCTTTAAGAAGTTGTAATTTCTCTTTTTAAAATTGTAACTTTACCCTACAAAATAGTGACCGATGGTACCGATACAAAAAATGGCAAAATCTGAACACAAACTAAACACAACTCACCAGGACTTGGTTGTCACACTAGTGATCTTATGTATTAGCTACTATTGTTGCTTGAGGCAAATGGATTATTGAAATAATAGAAGGAAATGTCAGTTTTTAAGTGGAATTGGTTGAAAGATCATCTTACCTAGGCCCACATCTTCCCTTCTCCATGACCATATTGATATGGATAGAGTTTCTGGTAATTGGATACATCGAGTTCCAGAGAAATGCAGAGCTCGACCCAGAGAAGAGGTTGTACCTTGGTGGAAAATTCTTTTACCCTCTAGGCTTAGCCACCAACCCGGAGAAGAAGGCCACCCTTCAGCTTGCTGAGATCAAGCATGCCCGCCTCGCCATGGTTGCGTTCCTTGGCTTTTCCGTCCAAGCCGCCATCACCGGTAAAGGCCCTCTCAACAACTGGGCTACACACTTGAGTGACCCTCTTCACACCACCATTGTTGACAACTTTTTCTCTTGAGCTTCATTTCAATCCTCTGTTCTTCTTGGTTAAGAGCATTTTACCTATATGAAAAATTATTATATTTGTACCCATATTGTAAAAATTGTAATGTTTGACACTCTAATCAGTATGCTAAATCAACACCTTTTTTTTACTCATAGGGTGATAGCTGACCCTATATTGGGATCTACTGTTTTCTTAACTGCATTCAATATTAAAATTTATTGTTAATTCAATAATAATTATAATACATTAGATCCTTAGATTAAGTTCTTAAATTCGATTGCGATGCAATGCACCCAAGTAAATAAGGAACAAGATGAATACAAATGTTAAATGCTCATCCCATGCTTGAAAAGTGCCCCCACATAGATCTTCCGCAAAACCCTTTGCTAATTCCTGTAAAGATGAACTTCCCTATGAAATAGATCATCCACTTGGCTAATCAACTACCTATGCAAGTAGAGGTGACTCAACAATATTTGGGGCCTAAAGTAATAGTGGCTAATGAGACTTTTTTATTTTCTTAATAATAATTTAATTTTTTGTTTAAAATCTATTATTTTTACTTTTTGATGAGATTCGAAATTGCTAATGACTTTTTTATTCAAATTTTGCTAATATATTTTTTTGATTAATAATATGATTTTTTTATCATAAATATTTATAGGAATAAAATTAATTTCTTCATTAATATTTTTATAATCTTTTTATTTTTTTTATATGTTGTTTATCGAAACTGTGGTATTAGATGATTGATTTTAGTATAAATAAATTCATTGTTATCTTGCTTTTGGATTATTTTGCTATCTTTGAATTTTTCTTATTTATATATGCAACCTTTACCTAAATTTTTGTTATATTTATCAAAACATTTTATTAATGAGAATGAATGGTTTAATTAGTGTTTTGTGTTCAAATGAGAAAAAAAAAAAAAACAAGTTTAAGAAATGTAGAGAATGTGTTTGGTTTGATTTTTTTATTTTTTGACTAAAGAGAGATGCTTATTATGTTGGACTTTATGTCTAATTAATATTGGACTCTATTGTTGAACTTTATGTCTAATTAATACTGGACTCTATTGTTGGGCTTTATGTCTAATTAATATTGGATTCTATCTCTAATTAGAGACTTAAGATGACCCACATTCCATGTCATCTTTTAATAAATAAATATTATATATATATCCTATTTACTGAGTCAAATCTTTCTAGGTAACTGACGTTAAGGTAACTACTCACTACTCCCATCATAAGATGAAGTGACTATCATGGAGCGGTTTAAAACAATTGTAACTCCTTGATGGAAGGACGTTACATACAGTTTCTCTATTGGATAAGGGTCCCTGCATATATATATTCTCATGCTTGTGATTTTCTATAAAGGTATATGTGTATTCAGATATCATATATGTAGACAGAAAACTCTTGTCTCATATACCTCCATTCAGTACATATTTGTGAAGTTATTATTGAGTGTTCTTCTTGAATGTTGAGATTAAGGCTATGATACGGATTCGTGCTTGTTGGAGCCGTTGGGTTCGTTGATTATTCTCTCTATAGAGAATTTGAATTTCTCATTCTCGAACTTGAATATTAATGGCAAGAGGTAAGTATTCAATTCCGCTATGCAAAAATAGAAAGATTAAATTCTTCAATAAAGTCTATCAATTGGTATTAGAGTCATCCTTGTGTCCTTTTTATTCAATTATTAAATATATGATTACTCATTTCCGGAATCAAGACTTAAAGTAGTTGAAATTGTACAAATCTTTGATTATTCTGTCATTCCCGAAACCAAAACTCCCTATGTCAGATGAATGTTTCTACCAATTGAATGAGGTATTAGAAATTCATACGCCAAGTCAAACATGGAACATGTTTGTACTTTTTGTATCACAGTAAATGTATTTGTACTTTTGTACTTTTTGGTTTAAAAAAAAATAATAACGTACATGTCCTCTGGAACAGTGGCATGAAGTTCCAGTGGCATTACCTTCATGCCACTGTTATGTTTACTGTTATGTCAATAATATTAGCATGAACAATATGCCACTGCTATGTCCAAGAATTATTTATTGTTATGTTGTCATGGTTTATGCACATGGTTTTGCTTCAGATAATTATCTAATAATATCAGCATGTTTTTGGATCAAGTTTGGTTATGGTACATTCATGCCAGAGAGAAGCATTTTTAAGGAATTATTTGCCCTGAAAGATTTATTTATGTCTTGAACTATGTCACATGGAGATATCATATTAACTTAAGAATAGCCACAATATCTTGAGTTATATTATTGAATGATCAACATTTAGTTTGATCATATTAAATATATGTTTAATATCTTCATATTACTATTTAGTTGTTATAGATAATTACTCGGCCCCACAGGGAAGTATTTATTTTATACTGCTTAATTGGAGTAAGCTATTGAACGGGATATTAAGAGTTTTGGATACCTTATACCCACAGGTTTGGAATCATTTGTTCCTTAGTATTTTAATTCATTAGTCTTATTATAAAGAATAATAAACAAATCTTGGACAGTTTATGACCTTTACCCACAAGAAGGTTTGCTTATTATATTCTTGGTTATTGCAGTTGTTGCTACCTCTTTATTTAATGAGTCTTCTAACATTCCATCGCTGAGTGGTGGAAATTTTTTGGATTGGAAGGACAAAATTCTCTTGACATTAGGTGTATGGACTTGGATTTGGCACTTCGCATTAAAGAACCTCCTGTATCCACTGAGTTAAGTTCATCGACTGAAAAGAGTGCCTATGAGCGGTGGGAGCGATCTAATTACCTAAGTCTGATGCTCATCAAATCACATGTGAGCAAGAGCATCAAAAGTTCTATTCCAGAATGTGATAAAGTGATGGACTACATGAAGGCCATTGAGGAGCAATTTGTCAATTCAGATAAAGCATTGGCCAGCACCCTGATGAACAAGTTATCAGACATGAAGCATAACAAATCTAGGAGTGTGCATGAATGTATTATGGAAATGAGGGACATTGTAGCTCAACTTAAGTCCGTTGAGGTTGAGATCTCTGATTCATTCCTTGTTCAGTTCATACTTAACTCTCTCCCTGCAGAATTTGGACCATTTAATAGCTCTTATAACACACACACACAAAATGGCTCATCAATGAAATTCTGACTATGTGTGTTCAAGAAGAGGAGAGACTTAAGCATGAGAATTTGGAGAGTGCCCATTTGATCACTCATAAAGGTGGACAAGGTAAGAAAGACAAAAGTGTTCTTAAATGGAAGAAAGATAGCAAAGGGTCATTCAAGAAACGTGGCCACAAGGATGCTTGCTTCTTTCAAGAAGAAGAGACACTTCAAGAAAGATTGCCTGAAATATAAGAAATGGCCTGAGAAAAAAGGTAATCTCATATCTCTTGTGTGTAATGAATCCAATTTTATTGATTCTCATCATAATACTTGGTGGATTAATTTGGGTACTACAATTCATGTTGCCAATATCATGTAGGGCTTCCTCAGCCTAAGGAAAACGATGAAAAATGAACATGACATCTATTCAGAAAATGGGATGCATTCACACGTCACGACTGTTGGAACTTTTAGACTTGTTTTAGAAACTGACTTTGTTTTGGATCTTGAAAATACTCTTTATGTTCCTTCATTTTCTAAGAACTTAATTTCTATTTCTAAATTAGTACCTTTAGGATTTGAATTCAGCTTTGTTGGTTTGGACGTTTGTTTGTTCGAAAACTCTAGTTTGGTTGGTTATGGGATCTTAGTTGATAGTTTGTATAAATTAAATTTGGATCCTGTTTTTGAACATAGTCTCCTAACCTTGCATAATGATATTGGCACTAAAAATACTATTATTGATGAGAATTCCTCTATGTTGTGGCACAGGAGATTAGAACATATCTCCATGGAAAGAATTAAAATATTGGTTAATGATGGAGTCTTAAAGGCTCTTGATTTTTCTAATTTTGGTACTTGGAATCATACACACTGATATTTGTGGACCATTTTCTACCACTTGTTTAAATGGTCAGAGATACCTTATCTCATTCATTGATGACCATACATGATGTATGTATCTCTACCTTCTGTTTGAAAAATCTGAGGCATTGGATGCTTTAAAAACATTCAAACGGGAAGTAGAGAAACAATTGAAAAAGAAAATTAAAATTGTATGGTCAGATAGGGGTGGAGAATATTATGGAATGTACACAGATTTGGGACAAAGGCCTGGTCCATTTGTTGAATATTTAAAGGATGAAGGTATAGTTGCTCAGTATGCTATGCCAGGTTCATCTTACCAAAATGGTGTGGCTAAAAGGCAAAATCACACCCTTATAGACATGGTAAGGAGTATGCTAAGCAACTCTAATCTTCCTTTGTTTTTGTAGAGTGAAGCCTTAAAGACAATAATGTATATCTTAAACAGGATTCCCACTAAAACCATTTCCAAAACTCCATTTGAGTTATGGAAAGAAAGGAAGCCTAGTTTAGTAAATTTTCACATCTGGGCCTATCCAATTGTGGTTAAGGTTTACAATCCACAATTAAAGAAATTGGACCCAAGGACAGTCAGTGGATATTTCATTTGCTATGCAAAAAAGTCTAAAGGTTATAAATTTTACTGTTCATCACACACACCTAGAATTGTTGAGGCTAGAAATGCAAAATTTATTGAGAGTGTTGACATTAGTGGGAGTATTCCTCGAAAGATTGAGTGGGAGGAATCACGGGATTTGGATATCATACCCGTGAATAAAGATAAGATGGTTATTATTCAGGATAATCCAGATGATATTCAAGTACCACCACCACATTTTTCGAACACTGGCTCAAACTGAATTCGTTACCCTTTACGATTGGAGCTGCATTAGGTGTGCATTCATTCATTTTGAATTTCTTCAAAATCTTTTTAATCTAGGCTTTATGAGACAAACCCAATTTTCTTTAAGTCCTGTTTCTATGAATCTCTATGCCTATGACATAAGAGGCTTCACCCATATTCTTCATCTCAA